GGCCTCCAAAGTGATTTGGTTTTGTTGGGAAAAAAGCTTGGTCTTTGTTTAAAAAAAAAGTAAAAAAAAGGAGGGGGATACTTGGAAGAGCTTAGCAGCACCCTGTGTCAGACGGGTTGTGAGACTGGGAGTCAGCCAGCCTGGGCTTGGGCTTCAGTGCTCCTGAATAACCCTCTGTGCCACCTTAGTCAAGTCTTTTGTCTCGTCTGCACCGCTCTCCCTGGCCCTCCATGCTGAACTGCCTGGGGGCGTTTGGCAGAAAGGAGCTGCATCCCAGTGATGTATCGCTGCTGTTTACTCCCGGCCCTGACTGGGAGCTGCTTCCATCAGCATCAGTGAGGCATTCACTCCAAGAGCAGTCACCAACAGAGCTCCAAGCTGCTGGGAAGAAAAAGGGACATATTACTGAGATATTTTATTGTTTCACCTTGTATTATAAAATATTTATCTCAGTGGTACTGTCAGATGCCCTGACATTAAGAATGATATCCTCCATCTCATGCATTCACTGTATTTATATTTTATATTGCTGTTTTTGATACAAAAGTGTTCTTCTTGTACCTATAATGAGAAATAAATCAAATAAAGGGCTTATGTTAGGGAGGATGGTGGTGTGGCTGCTTAACATTTTAGGAAAGATGGAGGGAAAAGATACTGAACCGATTGTGACGCTTGCTTTGATCTGATCACGGTGGTTGATAACAGATTGTCGAACTAGAGATGAGCTTATGAAAGGATATAAATGTGGTTTTTATTGAACGAAGTAACATTTCAGAAAAGGTTCTTTCAAAGGCAACAAGCTCTTTAATTACAGCCTTCAGGGGCATTGTTTGATCACTGTAAATAAGATGCTTTATTCTGGGTTCTGCTAAAATGTTGGTTTGGGGTTTTTTTTTGCATTATATTGCCTACATCTTTCTCAAATCAAAACATTCTGTTCTCAAGGTTATTTGATTTACATTTTCAAAGAGTTACATTTTCTTTATGACTTGAGTGGGAAAAACAAAGTTATTGTTGAGCAACAACAAATAAATGTTAAAAAGTGCATTTTAATTAAAATTTTATTTTTCAATATATTGTGTGAGGGGGTCCACATTACACAGCTGAAGTAAAATCTCTCAGGGTCACATTGTTGCAAAGTGGGAATTTTCAAAATGTTTTCAGATTAATTATCATGGTTTCTAAAGGAAAAAGTACTTTTATTATCCTTTTTGAAAGCTATGCGCTTTCCCTGGCTCCCTTTTACCAGCACAAATATTTGCTGCAAGTGCCTAGGTAACATTTTTCTTGTCTGAATGTAATCTTCATTGTATTATTCCAGGCAAACTGCCAAGCAAGGGCTAAAATCAGGGCCAAAGCAATCTAGTTGCAGACAAATATGTAATTAAAATCAATACTGCATGTGCAAATGTACCCCCAAAAATGTGGCTGGCAGATTTTTTTTTTTTTTCTAAATCCTAGTATTGATAAAAATGAGCCTTCTGCAATCATGGTCTCAGACAGTTAGCAATCACCCACCCAACCTCTCATCCTTATAATATTTCAATCTCTTGGCCTATTTCAAATAAATCTAGTAATACATGTTTTACTATTGATAAGCTGTTGAAAGTTGGTCTCTGATATCTTAGATGGAAAATGTGGTGGCATACCTCCATCATTCCATTATTATATGATCTATCTATCCAACTTCTCTTCTGCAAAAGAAAATTACTATCCTGTGGTCCTTACTGGTGGTCTTGCAAAGCATTTTGTTTGCCAGTGGATTATGCACCCAAGTTCATTTCTTTGATGGCAGGACAATGACCTCCCTTGATTTTAATTTTCTTGGGGGGTTTTGTGGAATCACTCTGTGGCAGATATAGACTGAAATGGTCATTAAATATTCTTCAATAACAATTTTTAAAGAGCTTTAGCCCCTTAACTGCCTCATTTAGTAGATGAGGGAAAGGCTGTGGATGTTGCCTACTCAGATCTCAGGAAAACCTTTAGCACAGTCTCCCACAGCATTCTCTTGGGAAAAGTGGCAGCCCGCTGCTTGGACAAGTGTACTCATCACTGGATATAAAACTGGCTGGACAGCCAAGGTCAGAGAAACTATGACAGGAAAGACATTGATGTTCTGGACCTTACCCAGAGAAGTAAAAAGGAGCTGCTGAAGGGAATTGAACAGAAATCTTATAAGGAGCAGCTGAGGGAGCTGTGGAATTTAAGCCTGGAAAAAACAAGGCTGAGGAGATCTTATCCCATTCTAAAACTACCAAAAAGGAGGCTGTGGTGAGGTGAGGGTTATTCTCTTCCCCCAGGCAACCAGTGACATAACAAGGGAAAATGGCCCCAAGTTGTGCCAGGGGAGGCTCATCTCAAATATTGAGAAAAAAATGTTCACTGAAAGAGTGAACTGGAGAGAAGCACTGGGACAGGCTGCCCAGGGAAATGGTGGAGTCACTATACCTGGAGTATTAAAAATGTGAGTATTAAAATACCTGGAGTACTAAAAAAGTGAGACATGGCACTTCATGATCGGTATTAGCAGCAGCCAGCCTCCTGATGGGAGCTGTAGCAATTTCCACAGAGACAGCTGAGTTAGTCTGTGTTGAATTGCAAAGGGACTGAACAGTGCAAACAACTATGCACTATTTTTACAGTAAGAAAATCAGATTGTCCTTTTTTGTTAGAGAGCAGCAGCTCTCTTGCTCTTCTGCTCAGTACCAGAGCAACATTTCCAAATGTTGAAAGCATGCTTAAACAGCACTTTTCTTCACCTGGCACTGGTTGATATTTGTGTGGCACGGTAATCCAGAATACCTCTGAGTTAGTCATCATCCTGGTGTGCAGCAGGAAGCCCTCTGGGTGAGTTTGGAATCTAAGCACAGCAGAGACCTTAAGCCTGTGTAGTGTCCTCAGCAAGGGAAAACAGGGGATTATGTCCCATCCAGCCTGTGAAAAGCATCTTCCAGATGGTTTTTACTTTATTTTTTCAATCAAGATGCATTCTCCAGAGGGTTAAAAACCCACATCTTCTTCAGGGAAACTGAGAATTTTCTGGAGTCCATCTCAATTGTTCAGAGCATTGCACAAGAAACCAATAGGTTTTTCTGGACACGTATTCACCAAAGAGCACCCTTACCCAGTTGCTCAGCATTACTCTCCATCATTCTCCTGTTGTTTTGTGGTGCTCTGTTGAGGTTTTGGGTAGGTTTAGGCTAACACAAGAATAAATTATGTTCAGACTGGGCTCCCAGTGACTTCTCTTGAGGTCTAGGAGATAGTCAAGCACTTGTCATTTGCAGGTGCTGCAGCAGAGTTAATAAATAGATCACAGACTCAGTAAGAGATGCTTATCAGCCTAGGCTGTATTCAGGACTGGAATTGTTCTTGAATGAACACCAGGAAAATCAGTCAGCTAATTGTTGGGGTTTTTTGGTGTGACACTTGGGTGGAAAAAAGAAAAGTAAGCTGGTTTTGGGTTTTTTTTCTCCCCACTATCCTCACCAGCTACAAGGAGAGCTGTAAAGAGTGTTGCTCTTCAAGGAAGGGAGTTCTGCCAGCAATAATAATATTTGAGTACTGGCCTTCTCAATTATTGATTGCACCTATGTAGTCAGAGGTCAGGTTTTAAATATTTCTCATTGTCTGATACCATTCTTCTTACCTAGGCTAAAAGAAAAAAGTAAAAAGGCAAAACTTTAAACTGAACAAGATATAACTAAGGGCTTAGAGCAATTGTGTGAAGGAATATCTGTCTTCTCAGAGGAGATAAAGCAAAGGGCAAAATTAACCCTGAGAACCCTTTGGGGAAGGGAAAAAAGGAAATGAGAAAGAAAGTATTTTAAGTAGCTGAACAATATTGACAGGAAAGCAAATAAATACACTCACCAATGCATTGGGAGTGGAAATGAGAACAATGTTTCTCATGACAAGGGAAAAGAAATTTTGAGATGAGATTTCAGAAAGGGCATGTCCACATTGCTTCAGGACCAATCTTGGTTAATTCTTGGGAGGAAATGCACAGAAGAATGGAAGCTAGTATTAAAGTCAACATTTCTGATGTTCTGTGTTCAATGCAATTCTATCTACAAATGGAACACTGTGTTCACTGCATTGCCTTTATATATAGTTAATTGATCCCATGCCCCAAAGTTTCTGCTTATCTCCTGCAGAGACCAGGAGGAATTTTCCTTCTTCTTCATAACTTGACTTTTGAGGCTTTTGGCTTTATTCTTCTCTCTGTACATCTGCTTCTGAAACAGTAAAGGTTGACCACAACTGGAATAGAGAAAGGAGGACTGGTTTTGGCGGGACAAGATACAGGTCCAGGTTTTGCTGAGGAAGTGCTGAAACACTTGGCTGGATTGCTTTGTTCCTTTTCTGAAAGTTCTGAACATGACAGACAGAAAAGGAAATTTTTGCTGCCAGGTCTGAATCAATATGCTCATTTCAACATGGGACAGGGATTGCCATTGGTAACTTGCCAATTTTCCAATTTCTAGTACTTTCTTCAGGTCTTTTGTTACCACAGGAAACTCAAATGCTGGTTGCACTTAGATGTCTCCTGTCATCTCCCTGGGTATCTTCAAGGCTCTGTAGGTTTTTGTCTCCTGCTGTAGTCTGTTGTTTCCTATGGGATAAACTATGCCCTGTGCTGTGCAGAGCCACCTTTAGTGAGCTCCACTGCCTGCTGGTTTCAGGAGACGGCTCCTGACAACCCAGGTAATCCTATGCTCTACCTCAACCTATTCTTGTCTAATAATTTGGAAATGTAGATTCTTCAGACCTTGTTCTCCTTGCATGCATTTAAGAACCATGTACACACAGAGCTGATTGGTCATTGAAGTCACAAGATTGTTTTTCTCGTGACCCTGAAGAGAAAATTAGGCTAATTATCACAAGATAAGTATTATTTCTTATGCTTTAAGTATTATTTTTGTTTTTGCTCAAAGAGGTAGAGACACATGACAAAGCTAAATAATGCTTTTCTTTCCTTTTGCATTTCTTTTCAGACTCCATCTATGAGATGTTTGGAAATGAATTCTCCCTCTCAACAGAAGATGTCATTAAAGTTATTGGCTTCAAAATTAATAAACTCATAGCAAGTGTCCATGAGAATAACGAAGTCAGCCAGTTTTCAGCCAAAGTGGAATTACCACTAAATTTTCCTGGTATGGTATTTCATGAATGCAAGTTTTTGAGAAATTATAGCCCTGAGTAATCACCTTTGTTCATTTTATTGATTCGCTGTCTTGATTCATATTTGAGGTTGCAACTCAGCTGTCAAGTATACAGTTTTATGAGATGGTATAAGACATAGTCAACCAGTTTTTAAATTTCAACTCTCTTACAGTCCTTTCTCAAACCTGGATAGAAGTTATTAATATTATAAAGTTTTGTGGTTGGTAATGCTTTCTACACTTGGAGGCCCTTGGTGTAAGAATTACAACAAAAATCTTCTTTTCGTTTACTTATGACTTTTCCAAACCTTGTCTGAGCTGAAATCTCCCTTGTTGTGTTCCCAAACTATGATATATTTACCATTACTACATCTGTATTTTATTATTATGGGTACAAAATATTTTCAATACTTTGTTTTCAATACTGCTTTTGTTTTAATGATTTATTTTAACTATGATGGTCAGAGTGGCTGCTCCATGCTTGGAAACAGGATTAGAGGGGAATGGATGTAATTTTCTGCTTAAAAAGTCACTTTTAATTGTTCTATAGAGAAATCCAAATATATTCATATTTTGGAGGATGGACTTGAAATTTGGTGTGGAGTACTGACTTGTTCAATCATACTTCCCCTTGAGGTATTTGAACCATATCTATGGTTCTAGATATGGTACTTGAACCATATCTTCCCCTCTCCATGTTACCTTTTTCAGGAGAGCTGGCCAAGTACTGAACCCAGTACTAGTTCATCATGTGTCATATTTATTAATTTCTGAATTTTGCTCTCATCTCAGTTCCTCCACTGCTAGGGCCCAGCAGCATTGAACAGGGAAGTGAATACAGCACAGAGGGAGAAGTGTGTCTCCCATGTGAGTATCCCAAATGTGGGAAGTAGAGGAGACAAACTATGTTAGGAAAATGGTAGAAAAAGTTTTGATCTCAGAGCAGGACAGAAGGATGCAGATTTTCCATGCAAAGATCAGAGAGTGGAGGCAGCTGCAGGTGGTTTCAGCAGCACAGGAAGACCCCACCCACCCACAGGTTTGCAAGTAGGGCATTTCCTATGCTGGGAGTCTTGCAGGCAGCAGAGGTAATGGAAGCTCCTTGGTGAGAGGAGATGAGCAAGCTGCATGAGGAACTGCATGAGGAGGGCAGTGGGAATGGGAAGGAGTCTGGGGGAGAAGTTGTGGGACACATGCATAAAGGAAACACTGGTACAGAGCACACACAGAACACAAAAGACTTCAAGAGTCTGAGATCATGCCCAGGACTCACTTTGGCCGTCAGTCTAGCTAATGGACTGAATGAGACTACAGTTTTGTACAAAAAACCCCCACCCTAAATATTTAATTAGCACTGTATTGTACTGAAAGCACATGGGAAATTAAATTGTTGCTGCATGGGAAACATAATATGAGTGTTTTCTAGTGTTTGAGTGCTTGACTTAATACCCTCATTGATGCTCTTCTAAAGTCTTGCTGAGTATGCCAGAGTGTGCATGTATAGAATTTAGGTTATGCCAGTATCCAAGCTGGGACGCGCTTTTTCTGCAGAAGGAGACAAGACACACTTCTTGAACAAATATAATGTAGAAGTCCATGGGAATGATGAAATGTTTCATGTGAATTCTACAAAAACATTCTTCTGCTATGCCTTTATTTGCCATCTCTAAAATACAGATTTCTCTCTGAAATAGTTGTGTGTATATAACTTCCCCCCTGCTCCTAAATAGATCCTCAATTTGCCTTCACGTTTTTCTTATCCTGCGAATCAGAATGGTTTCTATGACCACTTATTAAAAGACTTTTTTGGAATGCCATTTTCAAGCACTAGTAGGGCCCAGACACAGAGATCAAAGACCTTTTAATTATCTGTGGCTATCTAGAGATATTGAAATACAGCTCTCCTGTGAACTCTCAAGATACTTGGTATTTTTCTTGTAATCCAAGTTTCTCTGATATTATTAAAATTTCTTCTATCTCTAAAATTCATACACCGATAGAAATATATTCTAAATCTTGATTGGCAGATGAGGTTGAACATTTGAATCCCAAAATATCCAACACAACAGAGTGATAAAAGTAATCCTAAATTTATTAATGTTGAAGGTCCCGACTGTTAGAACAGAAAGACTTGTGATTTCAAATGCTTGAACCTGGTGAATCAGGATTTATTTGCATTCAAGAGATCAGTTTTACAACCTGGCATTTGGATGCTGTTGCCCTGCTGAGCACATTTTCAAATTTGATCTAATCACTACAATTTTCATGCATAGTTATGAACTCTCCCAACCAGTGTTCTAGAAAACTGGGTTATTTCACTTGAAAAATAAATTCAGAGTTCATTTTGCTGAAATTTATCATTATTATCCTCCACATGATGGGTATTACTGAACAGCAGCACTGAAGAGGGGCAAAATGACACTTCTTATTAGCCCAACAGGGAGCACCAGTTTCCTGTTTTCCTCTGTATATGTACTCTTATGTATTCAAGAGCTATTTGGTAAGACATAAATTTGTCATTTCTCTAGTTTAGTTCTTAGCTGATGAATGATTCTGCTCTGCAGAGTCAAAATCTCCCAGTCTCTTGCTCTTTCTTGACCTTTTTCCTTTTCACTTTATTACATAGACGTGCTAAGATCTACCTGAAACACTGCACATGAAACATGGCTTGCCCCCATCTCTTGAACGAAGTGCAGAACTGAATTGCAGATGATCTTTTTCGTGCCACCTTTGACTTAATTCAATAAAAATTTCCACAGGTCTCCAGGAGGCTGACCCTGTATTTACATTGTATGTACAGTGCCCTCTTGCCAGCGCTGATGCAAAGAGATCTCTTGCTTTGATGCTCTTTTCCATTTCCTTTGCCATGAGCTCTTTTGCATGCCATGGGCTCGTGTATCCTTTCACTGCACACATACTGGCACGAATGAGCAATGCTCCTATTTAGGTTACTCTGGGGATAGCAGCTCTGAGAGTGAAGAGCTGGGCTCATTGGCTTTAAATGAGCCCTACTCTTTGTCTTTCTGAACGTATTTGCAGTCTTCAGAACTCCTTTTTTTCTTCTCAGATCCTTGATAAAGGCCTAATCTGCCCTTTGCATTAGAGAAACCGCTGCAACCGCAAGTTCACTATCTGTGTTATTTCTTTTATCCTCATTCTAATTTGTTCTTTTTCATGCCTCAGAGGACAGGGCTATTCTTTCTGTGCTCATATATAAAATAATAGAAGTCTGCCGTTACTCTAGACACTTCAATGACTACATCTAACCACATTCTGAACTACAATCTTCACTACTAGCAAATTAACAGACAGGTAATTTGCACAACAGCTGAATTGTTTGCCAGCACAAATGACTGCATTTCATTCTGTTGTATTCCTTCTTCTGCAAAAAACATTACTGGACTGCCCCTGTTCTCATGAGGTCCCTGGCTGTTGCTGCTGCTCATTCCTATGTAGTCTGACAGAGACACAGCTGAGCATGACTGCCCCTTTGAGCACTCATCTGCAAGTCAGTGACCACCCAACACATCTGTGGAAGAACAGGGTTAGGCATTCAAAGGCTCATCTCAGTACTAGGTGAGGAAGAGCTGGCTTTTGGGACAGGATGAGAGGAGGAGGGTGCTGAAGCACAAGAGGTAGTGAGTGGGTGTTGGAGGTGTGGGAAAAGAGGAATAGCAATTAAGTAATCTCCAGAGAAGGTAGAAACTGTGCTCTTCCCAACTTTACTCGGGGAACAGAAACTGCTAGTCTGGGAAAGATAAATTGTTCTGCTCTTCTTTTTTTCTTGAAGGCTGCTTGCTACCCTACTAGGCAAGCCTAACTATTGGTTTTCTCAGCTTTCTGTGGGGAAAGAGAGTAAAATACTCCCTTCCTTCAGGAGTCTAATTAAGACTGAAAATAGGAAGTCCATAAAGCTCCAGAGTGGTACATTTTACACTACAGACAGTAAAAGAGAACTGCATATACTCTTCTGTAAAAAAGTGGTAAAAATATCCTTCTATCAAAATGTGCTTTCCCATAGCACATTCAGTCTTGTGATCCTCTGGCTATGTTTTCTCTCCCACACCAGAGAAATAATTTTCTCAGATTCTCAAACTCTCTCCATGTCAACTTCTTGAAAAGATGGGCTGATGATGTTTGGGGCTTACTAATCATTCATTGTATTATGTCTAGGCAGACTTTACCTAGTGAAATGTCACAGAGGCTTCTTAGAGTGGAATGATTACATTTTCCCACAGTATTATTGTATGTGTGCATAGCTCTTCTTATATGACCGTTTTATTTTCCCTCAAACCATTGGACACAAGTACAGTTTGGTTGTAGACCAGATTGCATTTAGAAAGTAAATCTATAGGAGCAAGAATGCCAGATCTTGATAAAGCAGATGGACTTTTTTCCAAATTTGTTATTTCCATCTGTCTTTCCCCCTTACAGTCCACCAAGATCTCTTGGGAAAATCTAAGTGAATTTGATTCAGTCGTTTTATGGTTTGTGAAAAAGTATAAAAATATTTTTGCTTGACCTCAAAATGTCCAAATGTTAGCATCTCAAACTTACCATATGTCTCCTCCTCCTGGAGGTTTCCTTGCTATCTTAGATTTGGAAAACATTTGTTTTTGCAATTTGATTCAAAGTGATTTTAATAAGACTCTGAATTGTTCCAGATGATATTGTTTGTGTTTTTATGGTTTTGTTTTGTTTTTTACATATATACAGTGTCAAGGAGAGCATTTATGAGAGGATACCGTGGCAGAATATGGCAGTGAATTCCACCCAACATACCAAAACAGTCTTTTATATATTTACCTATGTTCTATGTAGAGAGAAACATCTGGAACTTTGCATGTTCATGGCCACTCAGAGGTGGCTGTTAGGTCGTGTCAGGGATCTGATCAATACAGAAGCTAAGTATGCAAGCCCACAGGGCTCTTCTCTTGCCTAAGCAAGCATTCTGTCCAAAATTACAAAAACCACCACAACAGAAGGCAAACATTCTTCTGCTACCATCCTTGACAAAGCCAGTCTGCCTGGGCCAAGGAGTTAATCAGGTGTCTAATTTTGCATCAAATCTGATAATTATGCTTCCATATGACACCTGCTCTCCAACCTGGGATGTTCACAGGTTTGTTGCTGAAATAGTTGTCTTCCACATAAGTTTGTAGGCCCAGAAAAATTAGACTCAGACTATTGTCAAACTCAGAAGATAAGAATGTTCCTCAAACCTGTACTTTGCCAAATATTTTCAACTGGAAGTTTTTTGCACAGTTTATGGGGGCTTTTTGATGTAATTCAGGGGAATTTTTGTGGGGCATACACTTGCTCCTGTTTTACAGATAGGTAAGCATAGTTACTGCCTTTGGGACACATCATAAGTACTTTGAATATCCTTTTTAATGAAAAATATTCCTATTTGTTTTCTCCCAGCACTGCCAAGAGATGATACCCATCTTGTGCTTGCAAAGCATGATACTGGAACACTGTTTGTCTTTTCCACAGGTTCAGTTTGTCATTGGTGCCTTGTCACAGTGATACTTTCTAAATGCTGATGAACCTGTTTGTGTTGATCTGCACTGACATGCTCCAGTGATGATTAGGACTGTGGAAGATAATTTCCTTGTTAATAATTGTGTTAAAATGGCAGTGAGAAACATTGCAAATATCAGTGGGAGAGAAAAGTGTGTTCAAGTTACACTTTGTGCATTCGTGCATGTACAAAGTTCCTGCATGTTCCTTGCGGCCCAGGAAAAAGCCTGGAGGCTTTCCTGCAGGTTTTCCTGCAGTGAGGGCATATATGTAGGGAAGGCACTGACACAAGGGTACTGACTGCACACAGGAAAAGCTGGCTGTCATACAGACAATTGTGAAGGCACAGAACTGAAGAAAGAAGTGACATTGGTGCAACTGGTGACTATTTCTGCATCAGATCAAAGAGGTTATTACTGCTTAGGCTGCTGACAGGCCCTCAGAGATGTTCGTTCCCAGAGTTACTAGTGGTCATATGGGACACACATATGTGTGTGAACCAAATATGCCAAATCTTTTGATTAATTCAGTTAAAACCTACTCAACAGACAGAATCTTAATTATGCCTCCTTTAACAAGAGTGGTGCTAAAGTTACAAGGTGAAAGTACAGGGGTTTTCTACTGTAAAGAATCACAGCAATCCTGTAGCCACAACCAGCCCCTTCCAAAAAAAACCCCAAATTCTTTAAAGGCTGTTGTGATAGCTGTAATTATTTGACACATCCGTTTAAAGAAATACAATCTTAGGGACATCCGGATACCATGCAGGGCCTTCAGTTGTGTTGATTATGGTCAGCAATGCAAGTCAGTAAGGGAAAAATTTTAGAAGAAAATAAGCACCTTGCTTATTTTTAAGAGAAGCAATATCTCCTGATCCAATTCGTTAAACAATCCCACAGTCAGGGGAGGTCTAGTGAAGGAAATTAGTGTCTTCCCAAGATCCAACAGCAACTGTGTGGTCTGGCAGCATCTCACCTTACTGAAATCTAGGTATCTGCTGGGACATCCTGCACTTGGCTGAGGACGATTGGGTAGGATATTTAAAATCTTCCAGAAGTGGCTTAAACTACTCATGGGATTTGAAGCTGCCATAAAAGTGTCTTTAGTGGTACCAACCAGGCTCTTTGATACCCCATCCCATGCCTCCTCCTTAACAGCCAAAATGGGAGTGTACCTTTACCATAAAGTGCCCTCTCTGCAGTCCAGAGGAGTCAATAGCACGGAGGAGCAAAGCCATAGGATTTCTGCTGGCTGGCTTTGGCAGAAAAAGGGACAAAAGGCACAGTGACTGCCAGGGAGCTTGGCTTCTTTGTCATTGTAGCTGTAGCTATTGGTTTATTTGTGACTAGCAAACTCAGCCTAGAAATAACCTCTATTCTCGCTTATATTCACTCGAAAGCGAGTCTTTGTCAGTGTCTGTCTCAGGAAGCTGCACTGCAATTCCATAAGGCAGCATTCACAGTTCTGCCACGCCTTGTGAGGAAGACAGCTGAATCATACAGTTCAGCTAAGACCTGCTTTTTAGTCCTCTCAACCCTCCAGTTCATCTTCCTTTATGAAAACCCTCACGCAAATATAGAAATGTACACATTTTTCTTGCAATGGAGACTCCTAATGAGACAGATCCAAAGGGCATGATTAACATGAAGTAATAATGTCCCTAGGAGATTGGGAAGCTTAGATACAGCTTCTGCCTTGCAGAATTTCAGCATTTTAATTGCCTCGTGATGGCTGGAGTGCTACAACACCCAGACTTTGAATTAATCCAGCTGGTGGACTGGGCTGTCAGATACGCTAAAATCTATTTGCTCTTTCTTATCTGTAGGTGCTGCACTTTCATTTGGGATGTATCTTTAAACACACTTGGTCTAGGAATTCCCAGTCTGTGTGTGGAAGGTTACATGGTACTGATGTTTAGACAAGAAACTTATCCTGCATGAACTGATCACATTAATGTTGTGTTTCCTCACACCACATCTGCATTTCAAAGGCTGGATTCCTAAGAAGACAGATAGGAATTTAGGATAATTTTTCATTTTTTCTGTGGCTATGAAAAATTTTACTGAGGACTAAGAATGCTGGATGTCAGAAATTAGACACCTGTCAGAAAGGGTTATTTCCAGCTGCCTATGTGTTGTACCAGCTGATATTACCTCTATAGAGTCATATTTTTAGCAATTGAGCTATCATCTATGAATTATTTGATGTGCTGTGCTCTCCATTTTCATAACATTCACAGTCTTTGGCATAACTTTCTTTGTGTACATCCCTTTTAATAATGCAAGTTTTCTGTTCTTAGGTCTTTATAAGGTTATGGCAGACAAGACTCCATATGTCAGCATTGAAGAAATAGCAAGAAAAGTCTCTATTGGGCCAACAAGGTTTGGCCATCCTTCTTTCTACAGTGCCAAGGATATAAAATTGGAAAATTTCACCATCAAGCATGATGAGCAGATCACCTTCAACTCAGTGGAAGAGGTCCACGGAATAATTGCTGTGAACTGTGTCGTGGTCAGAAATAACCAGTCTCATTCCTTTACTTTGCCCCTTTCACAAGAAGGAGAATTCTATGAGTGTGAAGATGACCAGATGTACACTTTAAAAGAGATTGCAGAGTGGAAAATCCCTAAGGGTAGAAACCGGATTGTTAAACTTTCCACTACTTTACATATGTGGGACTCCTATAGTCCACTTCCTCAGAACTTTGATGGCTATTTGATTCTCATGCCTGTCTACGAAGTGCAGGCAGTAATGAAATGTAAGTAGGAATAAAATCTGTGTTCTGTTGAACTTGGTGTAGCTAAGTACAAAAGTACCCTTAAATGCACATTTTCTTAAACTAGCCATGAAAGATTCAGTTTGTTAAAAATTCCTTATCCATATTTGCCACTAATGTTAGTTTCAAGAGGAAGAAAGATAAAAATGATATTTTGTTGAGTATATCTTTATCCTCTGTTAGTTTAGATTGTTACCTTACATTTCTTTCTGTTGCCATTTTGTTGATCACTACAATTAAATCCTCACGGAAAATATATGCATAGTAAAAAGGTTTTGAGTTTAGGAATTCTGTTCAGTTCCCAGATTCTTTTTCTTTGCATCTTAGACTTCAGCCCTGGAGAAGCCCCTTGGTGGCTTCATATGGCTATGCCTAGGAGGTCGGAAAAAAAAACCAATTGCACATGTTGCAATACACTTAATTACCATTTAATTTTCAGATTGAGGATGTTAGAGAAAGGAAAATCATATTATTTTATTCTGTTGCAGAAACAAATATCAACTGAATATAAACACAAAAAACTCATGGACAATTTCCGAAACCTGTAGGTTTGAGGAAGCAGAAAGATTAGAAAACCAGTATCTTTAAAAGTTTGCACTCTGAGTTTTTATTTTAAAAAACTCCAAAATATTTATGACACTAGTTGTTCCACCAAAATCTTGATACAACAGGGTTCTGATTGCAGGATAGTAGCTTAGCTTTCGGGAAGGTTTTGCTGCTTGTTGCATTTACTAGAAGCAAACCAATGAGCTTCATAGAAATTGAATCCTAACAGAAGTATGGCATTCATGAGGATATTTAGCAAGAAATCTTTTCACAATTGAGCATTTATCTGTTGAATTATGTAAGCAAATGGACAAAAGAGAAAGAAATAAAAGCAGGCAGAGATTGTTAACACAATACACCATAGTCATTATATGCTTATCATAAGACATTCAGCTGTGCTTGCTATGTGATTTAATGTGTGAGTTTGGAAAATATAACTTCACAAGATAAAGCAACTGTAATGTAAAAGTAAAATGTAAAAGCAATGTTTGCTGTAACTCTAGCTAGATACAGGGGTCTAGCTTATCTCCTGAAGCTCAGTTAACTCAGGTTTATTGCTATATCCACTAAGATATATGTCAGAATCAAGAGCAATTTAATGCTCCTGAAAATCTTCAAAAGATTCAAAAATATTTGGTATTCATTTTTCTTACAATCAGTTATTCCAATAAGGATTGTATTTGTTGTTTTTATTTTAAATTTCTTGGTGTTTTCAACATATAAGAAGCATTGCATATGTCCTAAATAACTATTTAACACCAATTGGAAAAGTAGGCTTCATGGTACATGAATAACTGCTTTCTTGTGAACCATGAAGAATGGATTTTTACCACTTTTAGGAGGACTATAAATAGACACAAGATAAATTATGAGAATTACTATCCACTCTAAAAAAAAGATTCCTGATAACTGGGATAAATGATTACATTTTCACAGGCTGTGAGCAGAATCCTCTTTACGTCTCATTATTAATAATGAACAAGTTTTGTCTGTGGAACTCTCACAAATGCTCATAGAAAGTTTCATTTTCACCAGTCATTTTCCTTTTTTGTCTTTTCCTTGTGGTGCTCAGGATGTTTATTACCTCAAGGTGTCAATGTGACAAAAGCAGAGTCAGAACAAACAGATCCTGAATTAGTGTCATAGAACTCGGTCATATAAAATAAATCCAATACCAACTTTTCAGTATAAAATATTGGTATGTCCTTCTACAAGGAAGTGTGAATCTAGCATATACAATCCCTTTGTGTAGGTCTATGCAGAATGAATCTTATTGAAGAGAGTCATTAAATATTATTTGCTTGTTAAATTTTACTACCTTGGTCAGCGATCTGTGGTGTCACTGACTTGGAGCCAAATTCTTAAACAAGCCTTAATTACATAGTCAGCTTTGTTCTTGGAAGTTTTGCATTCAAAATTTTGCAATTTCAGTTGTGGTAAAAGAGCTGTTGTTCCCTGTCAGGTTGTTAAATTCACTCGCTCAGTTCTGATATGAATGAAAGCAGGTGAGGCAGAAAAAGATGCAACAGTTCCAGAGAGGAACATAATATTAAAATGTCTTAATTCATAAAAATAACTTACTCTTAGTTATACAAAGGCTTTGCCATTTTGTTAAGTCATATTATTTCCTAATAATTACAGATGTTTTAATTATTCTTATAAATATCAAAATACCTTTTTTCTCCCAGTCTGGCTATAGCAGCAACATTTTATTAATGGATCCAAATGCTATTTATTTATTAAAAATGTTTCCCCACTCATTTCTTTAGAGAAATTCTAAACCACTATGAAGTAAAAGAATAAAAATACAGTTTGCACCCAATAGTTTGAGAACGTAAACAACTGATTGAACTTGGAGGTATTGTGGGGGAAATAGTGAACTAGCCTTTTCTTTTTCTCAAACTTTGTGTTCACTTGCACACCTTATTGTCTCTCTTCATTTGTGTGGTCTCATGCATATCTTATGACTATATCTCTCAAATTGCAACAATTAGACTTTGGCTGGCCCAGTTAGTAGTGCACATTTATACATGGACATGCATGCCTCAGGGAAGGTACTTTTGGTATCTGGCCAGGATGTGTATTTTATTTCAATGTCAGCTTGAAAACAAAACCCAATATATTTCTTTTTCTTTTCAGTTCGAAAGGACATAATTCATATCCTCTCAGATCTGGATGTTGAGGTCAAGGATGTAACAGACCATTATGATATTAGCTCTTTCCTTCAGCCACTTTCTTTGGAAGATATATTTGAGAGAACAAGCAAAGAATTTCCTATGGTTGCTCAGATAATGGAAGGGCCTTCGGGAAACCAAAAACCCTATAACTTATTGTCTACAGGGAAAGAGATTGTCATCTACAAAAAGTACCAGGCAGCAAGAGTCCTAGCCTCTGAGATGAGAAGTGATTCCTCCAAAAGACATTATTTAATCCCTATGAGCTACAAAGGAAAGTTCAAGAGAAGACCTCGGGAGTTTCCAACTGCCTATGACTTAGAGATAGTGAGAAATGAAAAAGAACCCCTTCATGTTGTAGCAACTAAAGCCTTTACTTCCCCTCATAAAGAGCTTTTTTCTGTTTCAGTTGGAGATCAATTTCTAGTTCAGCAATGCCAGACTAGTGAAGTTCTATATGAGGGAGGAAAGAAACTCATAGATGTTTTAGCTTGTGAGCAAATACTAAGTGACTCATATAAAAAAGTGCTCCTCCCTATGTACATGGAAGGTGGCTTTGTGGAAGTGGTTCACGACAAGAAGCAGTACCACCTCTCTGAGATTTGCAAAGAATTCCATTTGCCTTTTAATGTCAAAGTGTCTGTCAGGGACCTTTCCATTGAGAAGGATGTCTTGGCTGCTGCTCCTGGTCTGCAGTTTGAAGAAGAAATCACAGACTCTTACTTGCTGATCAGTAGTGCCAGCAGTCCAGTGGAGAGCTGGGAGATCCCTGTGTATCGCTTACACATGTTGGTCCATTTGCTCAACAAAGATGTCCAGACAGTTGCACCGCCTGTGAGGAGGACAACAGTGGAAGAGGTCAGTGAAGAGGAATACTATATGTTGAGAAGATATGAAAACCTAACCCTCCATCCACCACCCAGGCCTCCCAAAAAGCCAACAACAGCACCACCACCTACTTTTGCAGTGCCTAAGCAAGATGTGTCTGATGTACTACAGGCTTCAAAGGTAAGATATCCCATCTTGTCTTTGAATGTCTTACAACCACAGGTCATGTTCTGTGGGTTTAAAGTCTTCATTTCACTGTTGCATCCTTATGCCATGTACACAGATGGCTCTCAGCTCCCTGTAATGGGCAAATTAGCAATTACAGACAGGAATGGCTAAAATCTCCAGTGTGTGTTAATTGATCCATGAAAAACAACAGAACCATGCCGACTCGCAGCAGAAGCCTTGGCTGCATAATTTTGCATGGATAATCCTTTACTGCACCATTGTAAAAGTGAAGGGAGGGATTTGAAGTGCCTGTATTTAAATCTTTATTAAGGGGAAGCATATGTTTTCATGATGTAAAGATAATTTTGCTCAGCTGGAAATTGTGGAATTAAGTTCACAGAGAGACAGGTTGTATTGAAATTTTTGAATTCATTGTTTTGCACCCACCCAAGTGGGAAATAGGTTTGGAATTAAAAAAAAAAAAAAAAAAAAAAAAAAAAAAAAAAAAAAAAAAAAAAAAGAAGCAGTTCTTTCAGTTCTTTTAGAATAGAAGCTGATATTAAAAAATAAGTTCCCCTTCCAGGACAATTGTGTTTGGTCTGGCTGAGGTGCAGTTGATTTTCTTCACATCAGTCTGTGAAGTATTTTTTGGATTTTAGATTTATTCAGGGCTCATTACACACCAATCTTTTGGCTGTTTTACAGCCATGCACCCACAGTTTCAAGGCCTTCTTGATTTCCCAGGCTTCCCCAAGGAAGTTCATTGGGGTTGGCCAAGAGGTTGAGAGAGGACACAAATGGGGGAGCTGACCCCAGTTGACTAAAAGGATATTCCATGAGACATAATGCTGTGTTCAGCAATAAAAACTGAGGGGGTGATTTGCCTAGGAAAGCAACCATAACCCAGAGACTGGTTGGACAGCAGTCTGCTTGTGGGAGGTGGTGAGAGACTGCCTTTTCATCTCTGCTTTGGGTTGTTTTTCCCCCTCTTTCCTTCATTTATTAAGCCATCTTTATCTGAACCCACAAATTTTCCTGCTCTTGCTCTTACCATTCTCTCTCCTGGTGAGATCATCATCCTGATGCCAGGGTGGACTAAGCACCCTGTGTTGTGATTGCTATGCTTTAAATAAAGTGTAAGTCATGTTATTTTATTTTGGGGGATTCAGAGGGAGATATTTTTTTTTGTGTTGGTATGAAACTGAAGTTGAATTGTAGCCTCTGATAGGGCAGCATTTGTGAGTAGCTCTCTTTGCCTGCTGGAGGTGTTCCTTCTCTCTTTCCTCAATTCCAAGACCACATGCAGGCCCAAAGCTCCACATAGAACCTGAGACATGGTTACAACAGTCTATAGGAGAATAGAATGGATAAGGTGGCTCCCTAAGATAAGGATACTACCAAAAAAAGATGTGTCATTTTCTCCTGTCTTTACTGTAGACGTCTTTTCTTCTATTTTTACAATGAACATTAAGCAGCTTAAATAAGACACCCTGTTGTGCAAGGAAGAATACATGAGAAACTTGTCCATGGAGCTCACAGGCAAGCAATCATCCTGGTACTGGCCAGGGGTAAGGAACTGAGGGAAAATTCCCTAAAGCTGTTTCTGGTCAATTTGTACCCTTGTCAGGAGGACTCCAACCTCCTGCAGTTACTGATGGCTGTGTGTGCAGAAAAGCAGGTGGATGCTGACTCCTGATCAGGCTCATGCAGAAGATAATATTTTCCTAAAGTGAGAAGAGAGCGGTAAGGGTAGGGGAGGGATGAGCTGAGGTTCTTTTGCACATTCATGAGTGAGAGCAACCTTAGACTGCAGCTGTCCAGACAAAGGAGATAATTTAAACACTGTTTCAGAAGACATTTTTTAATTTTTTGAGGGGCAGGTGCCTTTTATAAATAAATAATAAACTGCAGTCAGAATGCTTGGAGTTATGCATATTGTAAATCTCCTCCCCTGGGAAGGTGAAACAAGTAGAGATCCTTTATTCACTAGATTAAACATCCTGAGCTGTAACATACTGTGTTTAAAGTCACACAGAATGCAGTATCTTTTCTATCCTGAGCACCTTGAGTCTTCTGAGAAGACGTGGATGGTAGCAGCTAGGCTCTGCCTTGGCCCCTGTGCAGTGCTAGGGGACATTGTGTTTTCTTTTTAAATGTATCAGGAATGTCTGAGGGTTCAGAAAGTCAGAAACTGTGACAAACTGATAAATAGCCATCTTTGCATATTTTGTGACTATGCATAGGCTTATTTGCATAAATAACAGATGAGCATCCTAATGAGCTGAACTTAAGCCTGACAAGGTGGCAGCCTGGGATAAGCTTTAGTGCTGCATGAGTTGCCACGCTCCTCCTGCAGGCAGCTCCCTGCCTGGTGCTTGGGGAGTTCTGGCTGCTTGCTGGACAGTGGTGAGTGGTTTCCTTGCACATCAGCTGAGAAGCTCTGCTTGGTTCGGAGCTCCAGGATAAAATGTTGCTGCTGCTGCTGCTGCATGGGTCCACAGAAGACTAAGATCTGCCTGTTTTTTGCCAATACCTGAGGATTATCTGCAAGCATGGGTCACCTTTAGTACAGCTTTGATTGCCTCAGCTTGCAGCAGGGCTGTGGGGGCAGAGAGGCTCTAGCTGTCTCTTCCTGCTGTTCTCTGACCTTGGTAAGGAAACTCTGGGCCCAAGAGCAGGCTGCATGCTTCACTGCATACTTCTGGTCATGTGAGTCACAGGCTTGGATGAGATTGGCATCCAGTGTGGACTGGAACCTGAGATGAGTGTGAGAACTGCCTCTGCTTGTGTTCAAGGTGCAATGCTGCAGAGACACGGATGTCTGCACAGTTCAGCAAAGTCCAGAGACAGCAGATGAATTCTCAAACATGATACAGCTGCATTAACTAAGCACTTTGCCCAGTCTCTTCACAGGGCTAAATAAGTTCGCTCAGCTTCTGCTGATACAGCTTTCACTTCCAGAACGTGGGATCTCTCCTCTCCCCTCCAAATAACTGCACAGACATTCCCTTTCCCTCTAATATGAACATTTTGTTTGTGAAAGAAACATCCAGACCACATATGTTTGCAATTTTGTATTACTTGCTAATTGAATTAAAAAAGACAGCCCCCAAGAAAATGCGTGTAAACTAAACAAATGAATAGAAAATAGCTTGTATTGAATGATGAAAATAATCTTATACTTTATCACAGATTTATCACACATTAGAAAGATCACTGCAAATATGACAAACCAAGTTTTCACTTAATAACTTCCTTGAAAATAGTTTTCTAGAATTTTCATTTTCACCAGCTTGGAAACCCACTGTTTCCTTCCCTTCAAGAGGATTCAAGCAGCAAATGTTTTCTAGCTTTCTCTTTACCTATCAGTTCAAACAGTAAATATCCTAAACATTTAGGAAGGTGTATCTACGTCCCTCAGTGCTTTTGTATTAAATTGAAGCAAAGGGTCCACACTGAGTATTGCTAAATGGAATCTTAATCAACACATGGAAAGCCACAATTTAGCCTTATACTCCTAAGACCATAAGGGCACTGCTTAAGAGACAAAAAAGGCAGTATTTCACCCCTTATAAGGAGTAAGAGAGGTTAGCTTCATCCAAGGCTGCTGTCAAGGGTCTGGTTAGTCATGTATCTAACCGAAGCAACAGTAGAATCAGTAAAATATCCACCAGCAGGATTGCTGCTAAATAACTTTGTGAACATGGAACTGGAAAAGTCACTCACAAGCAGTAATCTTCTCATCTCTGGCAAGAAAGCTGAGAGAATTCCAGCCAAGGAAACTGGAATTTAATAAAATAGGAGCATCAGGGCATGATAGTTAATCGTCATTTTGTGCTAAGGTCCATTATCCTTTCAAAAGTCATTACAGTGCTAAGATACCAAGAACTTTCTTGCTTTCTTGCTTTCTATTTCAAAATTAAAATGAAAGAAAAATTATCATTTCCATCTGGCTTTACAGTTCTACAAACTGAGCTATCGAACTCTGCCATTAACATATTTATCGCATCTGTCTTCACAGCAAAATGAAGACTTATCTGGAATTAAGTTGATAAGACATAAGCTGCATTTCTCAGCAAATGAGTTTTCCTGTACTGTCTCCTTTCCTTCCTCATAAGTATTTCTTTTCTGCTTCCAGAGCATTTTTCACATTTTTGGCTCTTTATAGAGTAGATTTAACACAAATATTTCTGCTGTGCAGCAAGAAACTAACCTTCCTAAACAAAAAAGTACTAGAAAATGCACACTGGACAGCCAGGAAAGTATAAGTAAGAACAGACTTCAGGAATTAACAATCTTTTGGCTCTAGAAATGAGGAAGAAAAAAGAAGTTCATTAGTGGATGCAGAAATGTGCACAGGCAAACATAAGGAGGAGGGTTTCTCTCTGACAGGTGCGGAACTGTGGTTGCTGATGCTGCACCTGTGCTTCCTCTTCCTCTCTTTTGTCTTGTCCCCACAGAAGAGGATGCTTCCCACTCCCTGGAATCTCACTTTGCACCCTCTCTTTCCCCCTCCTTCTCCACATCCTATCTATTGTTTATCCCTGTAATTTTCCAGTAGCTTTGTAAATAACATGTGAAGGCTGGAACTACATCTCTGCAAACTGAGGACCACCCCATACTGTCATTGCGGCAAATTTCCTAAAGTGTCTCAAAATCCTATCCCCACCACAGCCTCACCTGGTGAATCAGACCCCAATTCCCTCCAAGTCCTTGTGCTGCAGGTTCTCACTTCTCCAAGAACTACATCTGCACTGTGCTGTAGGTTCCTTTCCTCCTAAAACCCATCCTGTGACAGACATGCCTGATTTCCCCCAGACCCATGTGAGTGCCCCCATGCTGCACTTTTCATGTGCCTTTCACCTCACCCCTAACCTACATGATATTGGTTCCCCAGTCCCCTGTACTGCTTTCAACAGGCTTGGCTTTCCCTGCTCCTCGCTTCTTCCCTACGCGTCTCCTCTTCTTGTTCTTCTCTCATGCAGTGAGCTGGAGCCAAGGTCACAGGCACA